TTTTTATTCCTCTTCTTTTTTTACTGTGCCATTTTCTCTACGCAAATGGATTGACCTAGACTTTGAAATTATGTATCCGCACAGAAAATATTGTGACCATTATAACATTATCTAAAATTTTATTATATTCCTCCAGTCATGTTTGTAAGGAATTTGGAGGAGGGATTTTATCATCCTTTTCAAAGAATTTCATGATCACTCACAACTTACTGTATTTACAAAACCTTAATGTTTTTTTCATTATATAGGCTAAAAAAACAAAACACCAAGAACAACAATTAAATCGCATTATGCGCCTTCCATGAAGCATCCTTAGCATTATTAGATGCTCAACGTGTAGCTGATTTCGTATTTAGCCTCTTTAATTAATTAATTAATTGGGAATCCTATTTTAGACAAAGTCAATCACTAAATGTAGGTACCGCTTGTAATGGGGAACTGGCTCTTTTTACTAGACTTAACTCTAATCCTATCTATAAAGTTTTCTACAAAAACAAAAATAAGGTATCAAACAAAATGATGAAATAATCTTCCAATTTTACCCTTCAACTAGAGAAAGCACTTGCATAAATAATAAGATAACTCATTAAGTCATTATCTTCCTTTAATTAATTGAAATGTTGCGATTTTTTTTAACAAATATAACAACATAATAACTTTTTTAAAATGCTTGAAAAATGTCCCAAATACTTATAAATAGGACTGAAGGAGTAATATGAACGTTAGTAATTTTAACAAAGACTACTATTGTGCCACTTTTTTATGCCATGAATTTTTAAACTGAATTGATTTTGACATAAATGAGTTCGAATAGAAATGATGAGATTCAATTTCTTTTTGGCCTCATTAATAATCAGCAAGTTGTTAGGAAAAAAGATTGGGCACTTTTTACTTTTAAAGACCAAAAAATCTTCTTGACAGTTCCATTTTTCGTAGCATAAATATTTGAGTTTACACTTGACAAAGAAAAACATAAACTAGAATAAAAAGATGAATTGTCACCATCCAGGACTCATTTTTTCCTCCATGACTACAATAGTGAGAGAAAGGACAAGAGGACATCGATATGCACTCACTAATTCCCACTGTTTTGAATAAGGGAAAATGACAATAAAATGACATAGAAAATATAATTGCTAAAAACATTTTTATCCCTCAACTATTTACATAGAAGCATCTAGTATTTTTAATTTTTGTGTAGGTGATGTCTCCCTTTAACATTTGAAAATGGTGTAAAATGTTGCCTTCACCATTAACAATTATTAACTTTGACTATTAGCTGATTCAAAAATAACAAAAAAAAACTAAAAAATTATATACAAGAACACAACAAATTATAAATAAATATCCTATAAAAGATTAATATCGATTAAATTCTCTAACTCAAACATAAATTTGTGATTTGCTTGGTACTTAATAGCCTATACAATAAGGTTGTATTCAGAAAATTTTCTGCTAATTTAAATAAAAATATTTTATTTTAATAGCTTTCATATTTTTGCTAGTACTTAATTTATTAGTCATACTTTCTCTCTTTTATAACACTGGTCTTTTCAAGTTATTGTTCATATATTAAAAAATTATAATAAATATGTAAAAATGACACAATTTATTAAATTTGCCCCTCATTTAATTGTGTTAGAGTTAGAAAAGATGAAATTCTTAATTTTATTAAATAAACTAATTAAACTGTTGAATTAAATGAGGGTAAAATAAAAAATATTATTACATATTTCTTTAAAATTATAAAATGACTTATAATATTCACCAAAAATTTTATCAAAGAAAGACCAATATGATAAACCAGAATAATTACTACTCATTCTTAAATTACTAAGTAGTACTTATTCTTAAAAAACAAGTACTAATTAATTTATTTTTATAGGATTTTAGTGTAATAAAATTTAAACTATTGATGTTCAATAATTGGGGAAATTTCCTCAATATTTTACGGCTCATTCATTGATGCAATTAAAAAAAAATCTCATCTCATCTTTCTAGTCACGTTCATATGTTTTTAAATAAAAAAATATGGGGTCTTCCTTAAAAATAAAATATTTCTTGTCCTTTTTAAATAATTCATATTTATGATTCTAATTTATTACTATGATAAAATTAATGACCCAAAATTTCAAGTAAATTTTTATGACTTGATCTAATTTTTTTAAGCCCTTATGCCTAAAAATCAACAAAAAGTTTGCCAAATATAATAATATACAATGTTATTTGATGAACGTTTTCTTTTCTTAAGTTTCATAAGGTATCCCTACAGCCAACAATCATGAGACTAATTTCTCAAGGAATCTAAGTGTCATTTTAAGAGTTGTCCTCTAAATGATGCTCTCCATACACACTTCCAAGAATCAAATTCTAGGATAATGCTTAAGGAGTCTTGACTGCTATCATGTATGCCTTACTCACTTGGTGGTATTCGATGAACTTAATATCAACGGTACATGACTTTGACCAAAATTCCCAGTAAATTCATGACCATTGGATCTTATTATAAAGAGCAAAGCCAGTATCAACTATCAAGGGTGAAATTATAAGTAAAAATATACAAGTCATTTTTGTTGATATTTCCTTGTGAATAAAGATAAATCGTTCATCATTCTTAACTTAACTTGGGCTAATTTTTTAAGTAACAGAACACTTATTTTTATCTAATTAAAAAATAAAATTTATAATAATAATTGTTAGAGAATATACAGCATATTCAAATCCTTAAAAAAAAAAATCTACATTATTATGCCATTTGAACACTTACACTAGACATATAAGTATAATAGAACGGCTGGGCTAGCCACTCTGATGGGGCCTAGGCCATTAGAATATACTACAAGCTAAGCATGTAGACCATTTTATAGTTTACTAATTCATCATTCACTTTAAAAAAAAATATATATATAAAGTTTAAATGCTAATTTATTCTTGGACTTTTTTTTTTCTTAGAAGTGTTGAACATCCTAAAATTAAAAGTGAGGCAATATTGCCCTTCCTATGTTAAAAACAAAGCAATATCATCCCTCCATTAAATATCCATTAATTTGACCATTAGTTGACCTAAAAATTATAGAAAATAACTTAGAAAATTACAGGAAAAAAATTTACAAAAAAACCTTATAAGAAAATTAATATTAATTAAATTCCTTAAATTATAAATAAATCTCAACGGACTAATATTATTTTTAACCCAACCAATTACTGTGCGATTATCCATGTTGTTGCTGGCATTGGTGATTTGATAATCAATCATTTTACAACTCATTCATGTGACCAAAGGAAAAATTATCCAAGACATTAATATAATGGCACAATAATAGTTTTTGATAAAATTGGAACTTTCCATTAAATTTTCAATAAAAAAGTCACTTACATGGTATTGTATTTTTAGTTTCGTGGTCCAACTATGAGTCAAAATTAATATTTTTTAACTGTAGATACAATATTGGACTATTTTCAATTATCTAAGTAGAATATTGCATCACAAAAAATCCTAATATAATATATGTTTCTGCACAAATATAGTTGAACAACGCAAATGTTCTTTAATCTATAGAGTTTTCAAGCATATGATCTAGCTAATTAATTTTCAATATTGCTTGTTAAAAAGTAGAGAAGGCAGGTTACAAATTAATATCAAACACGAGAAACATGGTTACACATTATTAAAACTTCCAAACAATTGATCTTAGATAACTTATAATATTTCTTACCAATGACCTAGTAGCCTAGTGACATGTAAGCTCTCTTGTAAGTGGGTTAGATCATGTTAGTATAATAGTATTTGATAATCTTAGGCTGTGCTAGCTCCAATAAACAGAAAACTTTTAATATTTCCTATTACTAATTAAAAAGTCAGTTTAAAAATGATGTTTGTTAGAATTATGGTGGATTTTTTCTCAGTGATTGTTAGAACGTCACTTTACCGGAAATTAAGGCAATCATTCAAAAAATAATAAAAAATTTGTTTGGATATGATTATTAATAAAATATAAAAAGATGAAATCATACGCAGCTTAAAAAAGGAAAGAGCTACTTTTTTGCTGGATATCATTAAATTATTCTATATGTTAATATAAATTATAAAGCAACTTAATTTTCATCACGCGTACGGCTACATTATTTTTCAAAGGGTAAATAAATGTTGATATAACATATTGCCAATGCGGTCGTAAACGTTGGAGAATTGTCCCCTTCCATAACTTAATTTTTCTCTCGTCTGCGACAATGAGTGGAGAAAATACAAGATACCATTGATATCCATTAACTGAACACCTCTATTTTCAATAAAATGACAAGGAAAATAGAATGTCTAAAAATATTTTTCGCCCATCAACTATTTGCATAAAAGCATATGGTATTTTAATCTTCTTTTAAGGCAATATCCTCTAAAATTTGAAAGTACCCAGTGACGACCTACGATCCTGGGCGAGTGAGTGCAATTTATTCAGTACAAAGTCTGATCCCAATAGTGACTTGATTTGAGCCATATTTCACTGGATTCGAAAAATAAAAATGAGTGGTGGCAGGATGTAAAATCCACCACATATATTCATGTGATTTTTTTCATTTCAAGGGGGCATTTGCCCACACTGAACATTACCTGGGAGCGCCCCTGTATTTACCTACCATTAACAAATATCAACTCTAACTATTAATTGATTCAAAAAAATAACAAAAAATTTAAAAAATTATACAAAAGGACTCAAAAAATTATAAATAAATATCAATTAAATCCTCTAAATTAGAAATAAATTTCAAGATTTATGTCACCGCCGCAAAGTATGGGAGTGAACGACATATGATGTGCACTTAAATAGACATCTTTTAAGACTACGATCAAGGAAAATTTTGAATTAATGCATAAAACTTATTGCCAGCCTGATTATATACATTAATTTTTATTATTATTATTTTTTATTTTTTGTTTAGATAATCAAAATATTAACTTTTTTTTATTTCGACAGCACCTCACCTGTAAGTAAGACCTTCCAAAATCTCTACAATAAAAATTTTACAATTTATACCCAACAGTACAACGCTTTACTCCGCAGCAACAGATAGATAATATAACAAAAGAATTCAGGACCCTAACTATAGTCTATGTGGAGCCCCTAATTGTTCATTTTTTTTTATAATTCATAAATTCATATTTACATCAATAGGAAATATTTATAGAATCAATCTCCACCAAGCTCAGCAGAAATTCCTTATTGAAAAGCAGGACTTACATTGTCAGCTACACTATCTGAGGTCAAAATAACTTTCCAGTGAATAACGTCCCAATCATAATATTTTATAAAATCACAATGAATAATATACAATAATTATATAAATCAAATGAGAAAGCAATTCACTATAAGCAGATCGATTAACTTAGAATAAAATATTTATGTAACTTCGATAACAAAAACATTTAAATCAATAATGATAAAATAATTTCAACATTTGATCTTGACAAATCAAATAGTTAAATAATGATTAATAATAACAATATTTACCAATTGAAAATCATTAAATATGAAATCACCAACTGAAAATTCATTTTTCTGGGGATTTATCAGAACAATTCACAAATATGGACACACAATCCACGAGGATAAATAACCAAACGCGGCTTATGCCATGAAACAAACATGGACACACAGTCCATGAAGGTAAATAACCAAACACAGCCGAAGCTACGAAGCAAACGTGGACACACAATCCACGAGGGTAAATAACCAAACGCAGCTTATGCCACAAAGCAAATGTGAGTACGATACTCACGAATAACCATCCCTCCGTTCCACGTGCGTTGGCCATTGCACGGGCTAGCACCTCCTATAAACACCCTACTAGCTAGGTGTACCATGGCGCGCCAAAGGCTAACGGAACTGCCGTTAGCAACCAATGTTTTGTATAAAGTCTCCTTGAAATTCATTTTCAAACATGCGAGAAAATCATCACTTTTAAAATAAACTTTTCTCTTCTCAGTATCAAACTCGCATAAACTGTTTAACACATCAATCTTTTAAAATATGAAGATTCACAACGAACGTTCCATAAACTTTTTCACCCATTTTCATGATTATCTTTATTGAATAAAAGAGTATTAGAATTTATAAAAGCGTTTCTGCCAATCTTATAAGTATAACTCATGATAACTTCAAGAGCTAAAGAAATTTAATCAACAACATTAATGAATGCTAGAGTGGTATATATTAATGACTATAAATTATTGAAAATAATAGTTGATAAAAAGAAATTTTTAAATATATAAATTGATTGGGACGTTATCCACTTACCTGCAATGTTCTCAAATTCCAAAGGTTTTCGCCTTTTAAATCCTATCAAGACCCCCCCTTTTTTTCACACATCCTATAAGAATATGAATAATTGAAACTTTAATTAATTTCCCATAATTTATAAAAACTTCTTTCCACTTCTAACACAATCCCAATCAACTACAACCATTCAAAATTTCAAATACCAAAATTCATCTCTTAAGATTTATCCAATTATTGTCATTTATACATATAATTTCTTCAATCTTGCTCAAGCTAAACCGATCTATTTACTTAAAATATAATTATCTCTTAGGCTTGCCTCAAGTACCTCAGGTGCATTACTTCCAATTATTCAATTAAAACTTTCTATCTTTAAATCTCTTGTTTAGTAATTTATTAATAACTCTGCCGTTCCCAAGAATTTAACTTACATATTAATTTCATAATCAAATTCTTTTATAAGGTTCAAGTTCATGGATCAATAATATTCAAACTAGACAAACTTCTCTTAAGAATCAATAATATCTCCGAAAATACATATTCAAACAATCTTCTTCTAACAAGCATTTTATTGAACACTTATCATACATTAATTCTCAAACTAATACCAAACCTCTTACCTTTTTCATCTCATCTCCCACAAATTACAATATTGATATTGAAATTAATCAACCAAATCCAATTCCAATCCTTTAACAGAAAAAAATATCAGTTACTCTTTAAAGAAAATTAAATCTAATTCCTCCTTTTTCTAGTTTTGGCGTAAGTGGATTTATCTACTGAAAATCAGATTCAAAAACTCAAGATATGGATCAAACCCATTTGTCCCCTCATAACTCGCACAACAGCAACGGAAATAATAAAAAAATCACAATCAACCAAATAGCATACAAAGAGCAGTGAAGAAGTGAAGGATTGGAATCTCCCACCTTATATTAAACATGGCAAAGCAGGAAAAAGGGGAAGAACAAATCTGTCACGTTGAACAGAGAAAGAAGAAAGGAACCTTGTACGATGAATCACAGTAGTCAGACAGAAGATAACTATTTCCGACAGCCAGAATCAAGGAAGAAGAAGAAAGAACAATGGCACACATGAACAGCGAACAGAGACAACCAGGGGGAAGAAAACTCACAGTAGAATTTCACAACAATAGCGGACGGAGCTATCGCACCTGTCGACGACAGCAAGCCGACTGGCGGAAAAGAAAGAAGAAGAACTAATAGCAACCAACTCAAGCGCACGTGCAGGAGTTGAACTGAACGACGGCAGAGCAGGGAAGAGGAGAACCTCACGGCAGCAGTGACGGATGACGCTCTCAAGCACACTCACGCCGGCGATGTTGAAGACTGGAAAGGAATGATGGATGGAGAACGCCGGTGGAATTCAAGAAGAGCTAAGGCCGAAGGTTCTGGATTCTCCTTCTCTCAGCTCCCGTAAAATGCCGAAATTGGATCAGGGGAAGAAATAAATATGATGGGCAAGGACCTTATGGTAAGTTTACAAAAATTGAAAAGTCAAAAGAAAAGAAAAAGAAGTCCCACCCTTGCACCGTAGGAATCGAACCTGACACCATAGTTTTCATAGTTTTAATCTCAAGAGACTTGCCACTACACCGTCAGCTTGCCTTAATAATTTTATCCCAAAAATATAAAAATATATTTAACTTACATTATTGTAAATTTTAAATTAAATATTATTTTATTATTTTTTTCTGGGTTATTACAATTTATAGGTACCTAATTGCTTATACAATGAGCTTGTATTCAAACAAAATATTGCATTGATTCTAGAAACAATGGAATTACTAGTTTCACTCTATCCAGCCCCACTAGAATTTTTCTGCTAATTTAGATAAAACATATTTTAATTTAATAGCTTTCATTTTTTTCCTAGTATTTAATTTACTAGTTATATTTTATCTATTTTATTATATTGGTCTTTTAAAGTTCTTATACATAGATTAAAAAATATAATAAATACTTAAAAATATGACATACGTGATTAAATTTGCCCCTCATTTAAAAGTTTTAGTTATACTAAATAAACAGGTTAAATTGTTGAATTAGATGAGGGTAGAATAAAAAATTATTAAATATTATTTTGAAATTCTAAAAAGTCTTCTAATATTCACAAAAAAAAAAATTTATCAAAGAAAGACCGTCATAATAAAAAAATTGAGCACTGCTTAGTAATTTATTCATTTTATAGGATTTTATGATAACAAAAATTAAACTATTGAGGTTTCTACAATTGAGGAAATTTCCCCCATCTCATATTTCTACTTCACATTCATATGTTTCCAAGTCTAAGTCAATTCATACATCCCATGATGTAGAGGAAGGGACGCAATATAATGAATATGTAATCTTTTTCAAGAATATAATAGTCCTTGTCATTTTTAAATAATTCATATTTGTGATTATATTTTATTACTGTGATATAATTAATGTTAATTATTTCACGTAAAAGTTAACCAAAACTAAATAATTATGTGAAATTTGAGAAAAAATGTTTTTAGGTAACAAATCATTTACAGTAACAAAACAATTTAATAAAAAGACAATAAAGATAATTGGCTACAACAAAAGGAGAATGTGGGTCTGCCTCTAAATGTAATTCTTGCACCTGATTTTAATACAAAGATAATATAATTATACCGATAGACGTTCTTAATAAAATATATGCAATGTAATCAAAATGGTAGAGAAACAAAGTAGAAGAAAAGATTAATATATTCAATTGAATCATGATATATACCTTTCCTTTTTCTTTTTCGCACTCATATGCAGAGTATAGATTATTAAAGATTCTTGAATAACTTCAATATATCAGTACCCAAAAATGAAGGATATTTTATTATTTTCTCTTAAAATAAATTGTTGATCCATACTTTGGACTCCTGCAAGTTTTATTTCTGCATTTGAGACTTATGTCCAAATGTTTGAGCCTTTTGGTCTTGTGGTCAATTTTTCCTAGTATTTTTTCTTCTTCTATGCTTCAACCCACCTAACTTTTTCAATTTTATAATAGGATTACAATTATCATGGTGGTTAAATTCAAACTTGCTAAATTTCGGGGTTGAATCAAGTTGCACGCCAGGCCCACAAAGTTAGACTAAAGTTTAGTATTTCTTTTTATTTCAGGAAAAAATACATATTTTAAAAATAAAGAGATAAGACAACTTTAGTCTCTAAACATTCTCTTTATTATCAATTTAATCCTTGAATTTTGATTTAGTACAACTTAATACTTGTAGTTTATTTAGTTAAAGGAACTATAGAGATGGTTTTGTGCCAAATCAAAAAAAGAAAAATCATGAGGATTGAGTTGTTCTGAGTCAATAAACAATAAGAATTAAGCTATATATTCTCAATCAAAGTTTAAGAAATGAATTGATAATTGAAGAAAAGTTTAGGGACACAGAAACTTATATTTTCTTAATAAACATATGAGGAATCTTACTGAAATTCAATGTATTATATTCACACACTTTTTTAATCTTATAATTTCGAAAGTATCGAAATGATGGTACACAAGTTTTGAATAAGCAGAAGTTTTAGGGTTGTTTAAATTGAAGCTCAAATAAGGAATTGGTTGGTGAATTCATGATCAGAGGATGAATTGTATGGTTCAATCTAACGCTGTTACGACCGAAGATTAAACGTGGCCTACACAAGATAAATGCAAAAACACACATCCATAAAGCCTTTATTCTACTAAATAAATAAATGGCAAATGCACATAGACCATTTTTTAAATATATTCTCCATTTCTTTTATAAGAAACACTTTTCATGTGCCAAATATACACATATACACTAATGATTGTTCTTGTGATTACTATACTGAAATTATGTTTTTCAATCTCACTAATTTTTTTCCAAAGCTTGTCTTCAATTCCAATTAATTTGTGTATATTTATATTATTGAAAGTAACTTTAGGATGAGGTTAAAAAAAAAACTTTAGGTCCACTTACATTATCTTAATTTATTTTAAGATTTACCCTAAACAAATACTTCAATTGAAAGTAATTTATTTTAAAGCTAAAAATATAAAAAAATAATGAACTAAAAAAATCTAGAATTAGACATTATTCACGATCTCTTTTTAGAAAAAGCTTATGTAAAGTAGCATTTGATAATATACTAACTTACCATTCCGTTATTTTTCATCTACAAAATAGAGTAGTTAGTTGTTACTTGTAAAATGGAGGATAAAGATTCATCTTGAAACTTATATAAACAAATAATAAAATATTATACTAGCAAAGCTGCATATATTAGAAATTCATGTCAAGTGAAGCTATGACAGAAACTATGAGAGAAACACAAGTGAAGCTGATACATGAGAAGTTTAGGTTCAAATTAAACGTCAATGATGCCTTCTCGTTAGAAACAAACATGACTGCATGTGGAGGATTTATAGATTATACGTGACTCTAAGAAGACAGTTTGACAGCCAAATTATGAGATTCCTTAAAGTGGTTCTAGGATCTGATTCTACTGAAGCCTTGGAGTGTCTTCTTAGTATTTAGGTTAACCATGATCACCATAACTAGAGCTAGTAATTTAGGTTAAGCTTGATGAGCCAACCAGAATAAACCCAAAAAATCTTAGGGCCAAGCCTAAAAGTTTGGAAAATTTTCTTCATTTCGTGCTTATTCAGGACGCCTAAATAAGCCCACAAAAGTCCAAGCCAAGCCTGAATCTGAATGGGCTTTAGTTTGAATACCTATTTATTATTAATAAAATTAAATTAAAATAACACAAGAATTGAAAATCTTAACTTTTTAATATAAAAATTGAAATTAGCCAAAAAAAGAAAGATAAAATAAAAAATATTATTCAACAAATCAAGTATTCGGGCCAGCCTGAATACTGGGCTTTATTATATAGACTTTATTTATATGTTCACGTATTTTAAGCCTACCTCGAATAAGCCTGTTTTGCTCGAAATACTATCTTTAATCATGATCATGGTCTTAACTATGTTATTGCAGTACTGTAGAATATCTCTTGAACAAAGAATGGACAATGTTGTCATTCAACATGTGCTACGTGAGGTTAATCAAACTGCAGTCTTTTAGCCTAATGGGGTCTTTTGGTGATGCATAGTTTTCATGCTGTGAACAAATCATTTTCCTCATGTACGAACTCCAATATATATATATATATATATATTACAAATGGAGTGCTTGAAGGATGCTGAGGTGTTTGTAACTTAGAACATTGTGTGGCTTCCTTGTTTATTTTTTTTTTTAAAAGGAATGCAGGTCCATGGAGGAGAAGTAACTATTGATCAACATTCTTCCAAGAAATGCAAGAAAGTTAATAAAAAAAAATTATTCACCTAGAGCTTGTTTGATTTCTATTTTTAAAAATTTATTTTTATTTTTGTAAAAAATAAAAACCTGTTCAGACAAGTACTTTGAATTTAATTTTTTTTTAAAACTGTTCTCATTTTTTTAAAAAAAAGGTGAAAACAACTTAGAGTCATTTTATTTTATTTTTTTATTTTACATTTGACTATTGTAAATGATAGCCTATAGAAATTTATGCTATCTCAGCACATTTTCCTACAATTTCATGTGCTTTTTGATGAAGTTGTGCATACTCTTGGTATGTATAATAGGAAAATGTGCATATCTCATACTTGGCTTAAATGACAAAATCTTGGTCTAAATTGTGCATAATTTTTATCTTGGTTAAGATTAAACTTGGACCTTGCAAAATTACTTGTCTTCATAGGTTGTTGGAGCACAATTTGAGAAGCAAAGAAGGATTTATGAAGTTATTACACCAAGAAAAAGACAAGACAAAAAGTGAATAATTAAGTCCTAGTCGAAGCACTTTTGGCCTAAGCCAAAAGCCAAAACTAGAACAAGATAGAAGCATTTTGGCTGTAACTAAGAAACAATTAACTGCAACCAAAGTTTTGGCTGAGAGGTTTAGGTTGTGGCCAAAAGCCATTTACTAAAGCTATGCATTTTGGAATTAGACTTGAAGCTAGGGTTACATATGGAAAATTTTGAGACTTGGAAGGATATAACTGTGATTTCTAAAGGTTTTAGAGTCAACTCTACTAGGGTTTTAGGTTTTTGAAAGAGATTTGGCCAAAGAATGAAGATTTGAAGAGATTCAAGTAGATTTCCCTTTGTTTTTCTGTTTCTCTTCCCTTGTCTCTCTTTGTTTCTAATATGGATGCTGAATATTTTGGTGTTTGTTACTCTTTTTTGAACATGAGTAGCTAGTTTACTTGTTCTAGGATTATTTTGAACCTTTATATAGATTAAGACTTGATTAGTCCTCTCTCTTGATTGCTAGTAATATATATATATATATATGTGTGTGTGTGTGTGTGTGTGTGTGTATGTTTATTTTATCCTACACTTAATGCTTCTAAATGTTTGATCATCATTTG